CGCCCGTCGCCGGCAACCGCGGCGCCGGCCAATCGGCAGCCTCCTGCGGGCTTCTCGGCCGGGCATTGGTCGTCGTTCAGAGGGGGCGGGAATTTAAACTGGGTTTGGGGGCGAGGGCGAGGCTGAGGGGCGTGGCCGTCCGGGCGCCGTGCTGAGGCGGAGGAGCCCGGGATGCACACCTGCCTACCCTCCACGTCCTCTTTGCCTTCCCTTTTCTTTTCCCACTTGTCTTCCCTACTCCAGGATGCGGGGAACTGAAGAAGGGGCGGGGAACACCTGTTTTGCGAACAGTGGGCGCCCAATAAATGTTACTGACTAAATGGTGTTCAGGTTTGAAGTCAAACCGAAGTTCATTTCTGCTTTAACAGAAAGCTAATTCAGCTCTGTTCCCCCATCTACACTGGCTAACAAAGGACATACATTTTTCACCACGTTAGTCATATTAACCCTCTTCTCTTTAAGTGCCACAATTTCAATGACCTGGATACAGGACCCAAACTCTGAGTAATGACAGAACTGTGAGTTTACATGGCACCTTTCAACCTGAGAGTTGGACAAGTGATACTGGAGTCCGACTGTTGGACTTGCAATTCCTGCTCTGCTCCCGTGACCTCAGCAAAGTCACTTAGCCCCTTAGTGTATCGGGTTTTTGTTGTTTTTTTTTTACCTGTAAAATGGTCATAATAATTCAAGTACACATGCGAAGCACCTAACACAGTGCCTAAATAGATGCCAGCTATTCCTCTTTTTCTTAAGTCTATTAGAAATGAATACTAATTCCCTGGAGGTAAGGACTAGCTGATTTATCATAATGTCCTCCTGGCTCATAGTACAGACTCAGTAAACGTTTTGTGAGATGAATTCAAGCCAGAAATTAAATCTTCATTTTAAATCCATCTAATATTTATAGAGAGCCTAGCCCATGTCAAGCCCTTTATTAAAATTAAGTTCCAAGGGTACGAACATGTGGCAGCCAGTCTAACCAGGCAGACTGATTATAAACAAATTAATTAACAATATAGCAAGGATGTTAACAGAAGAATAAGGATGCTATGGGAGCTCAGAAGATGCTGGGACCTGGTTAAAAGACTCTCCTAAAACCATACGATTGTGTTTAGAGAAAATCATGAATCAGAACGAAGGCCCTGGTGGACTGTTCAGTAGACCTTCAAGGCAATGGTGAGGACTGGGTAATTCTGTTGCTCAGGATACGAAAGATACACCATCCACCATATGAAAATGAGATAATACCTCGGCATGTACTGAGATGGTAATTAATTCTGGGGCAAATAAGGGTGTTTTCGAGTTGTTTGACTTCGAGAAGCAGTTTCTCTACTTTGGCTTCCACTATCTTGGTTCAGTGGCTACCCCCACACAAATCCAGAATTAGCAGGCAAGAAGAGGGGACTATCGAACAGCCAAAAGAAATACTCTTGCTTATTTCTGGACCGTCTGGCACTGGGCTCCACTTTTAAGAAAGAGAACAGACTCTGACATCCAAAAATTGGCCTGACACTCACAGCTAGGCCTTCGTGTTCTCCCATTAAACACGATTGCACAGAACGCCAGTATCAGACAAAGCCATTCAATAGCTGAAGTGAGAGCAAAAATAAGACCAGTCAGTAATCTTGTCTAAGTATGACAAAAACAAGGTCACTGGCAAACCACAAAAACACCAAACATCACCCAATCCTGGCTAACATGAATGACGGCTACTTTTTCGCCAGTTACAGTTTTAGCCTCATTTCAGTCTTCCTGCCTTATAGGTGAGATTTATTAAGAAGATCCCATCACAGAATCGTTCCTGCTTCCTGACAACATCCAAACCAGAAAAAGTCCTGCTTTCTTAAATCCTAACCAAAATCACCTCCCTCAAATCCAAATCCTATAAGTTCCTTTCTATCACCCTGTTACCGAGATACTTCATGGTTCCCCATGGTGTCCATTCTATTTCACTCTGCAATGAGGAATAAACCCAATTTGTTCAACTACCGATATGTTCTTGGTGGTCTTTGGAAGATGTTGACCCCGGTAAATAATATGTACTCTGCCTTGTAAGGTATAGAGTATGTTATCTCTCTATTCTTTCAACAAACACTATTGAGCATCTCCTTTGTGCCAGCTACTTTTCTAAATGTTTGAGATATAGCAGTGAACAGGGCACAGAGGAAAAATCTAGTCAGAGGCGACAGATCAAAATCAAACAAAAGATAATTTCAGATATTATAACAAATTCAATGGAAAAAAAGTAAGTCAGGGCACTGGAATCCGTAACTAAGAGTAAAGGGAGAGAGGCTGTTTTAGATGGGATGGTCAAGGAAGGCCTCTCTGAGGAAGGGGTATTTTAGCTGAGCCTGATTGATGAGAAGAATTCAGACATGTGAAGACCAAGGAAAGAGCATTCTAGACAGAGGAAATGGCAAGTGTAAGAGCTCTGAGGCAGGAACATGCTGGGTATGTTTCATAAACAGAAAAAAAAGGCCAGGTTGGCTCTACTAGAGCGGAGATGGAGGGGAGTGGTTGGAGAGATCGGCTAGATCACACTGAGTGTGTTGGGCTTTGTATGGAGTTAAAATTCTATGCAAAGAGAAATGCAAAGTCATTCGTTGAAACAATGTAAGTTCCTAATAAAGTGTCAGGCTTATAATAAGTGCCGCATAAATGTCAGTCCTCTCCCTATTGTGGAGTAAAAAAAAGTAGCCTAGTGTTTCCTTTTCCCTTTATTAGGAATTTATTTTATTTGATAGACAACAGTTCATTGCATTTGGATGTTTTCAAAAACAATGAGTCAAAAGAAAATTATTAATGCATGCCTCATTTCCTGACTGGTCAATTCTAGCTTCTTTTTCTGTGCCAGTTAAATCATACTGTTTAGTTGTTGTTTTTATTCTTCAAATAACTAATGTGGTGTGAAAGAGAGAGAACAGATGTGTGACTGAAATTGATCTGATAAGAAAAAGAAATCAAGAGGTAGGAGAACATAGGGCTAAAAGAGCCTCAATTTTCGTGCTTTTTCTTCCATAAAAAGCTCCCCACAAAAGTTTGCCAGCCTGAGTTTTATTTTTGTTTTCCTCTTTTCCCCCCAATTGACAAGCTGCAAGATGGCTGCCTCAGCTCTGAGTGGTGCCCCCACACACAACAATCTCAGCAATAAAAAGGGGGTTTTCACCCTTCCTCTCCCTTTTTAAAGCCAGGACACTTCTCCTGTTTCATTGGTCAGAATTGGGTCACATGCCCCTTCCCGATCCAACCACTGAGGAGGTAAGTAGAATGGATGTAATTGGCTCTGATAAGCTACAATTTACCCCTGAGTCATGACAGGGAGTGCAAGATAGACACCTGAACAAAACTGGGGCTTTGCTGGCAAAAAGAAAGAAAGAAAGGAAGAAGAAGAAAGGAAAAAAGAAGGAGGGATGATTAACAGTTGTTTAATCAGTAGTTGTGATAGATATTACAAATGTGACCTAATATCTAGTTGTGTTCTAGAAATGGCTTCCTACCCCCTTGAAGATGGGCGTGCACGTATGACTAGTTCTGGCCAATGAAATGTGAGTAAAATTGAAATATGACTTACAAGCCTCATGAATTCTGGTCTGCTGGGAGTCAGGAGTTAAGAATGCCAGAGATTTGTTATGGGTAATGCTTGAAATATATAGGGGAAAGGGATCATAAGTAGGCAGGGAAAATCTTCAGGCTGCATTGCAGGTCTGACACCCATGGGGGAAATAAGAAGAGAGATATAGAAGGAGAACTGGGTAGGAAGAAGCTCTGACTATGACACATCTCTGAGAAAGTCTTGGCTAAGGCCAACAGGAACTTCAAATTACCTGTAAGGGTAAGGGTAATCCTGGGTTGGGCAGAGATGGACAGGCCCTAGTAACTGCACTGGGCTGCAAGCTGCCCAAAGAGATCTTGACCTCAGCTTGAACACAGCAGCAGAGCCAGAAGGTGCCAAGAGCTGGGGGCTGTCAGCCAACTTCACTGCAGGTTCTCTCTTGAAGGGAGATCTGAGCAGCACGTCTCCAAGCCTGCTGCACAAGAAGTTCTTGATGGCGAGTGCTAGATTCGCCAGCTGTGAGGACCCTGGAAGTCCTCCTGGAGGAGTTGCATCCTCCATCGGCCTGGATTCCTAAATCACTACATCAGGCAGGTCCCCACCCACACCCACACTGGTCCTGCAGCATGAACAAAAAAGGATCTTTTATTGTGTTTAAGCCACTGAGATGTTAGGGTTGCGCTATGGTTACAAATCAGAGCACGGTATTTCATAATGTATCATAACACAGATACGGCAATTACATGTGTCTGTTACAGTATATATTTTCAAAAGTACATATTTTCAAAGGCATAAAAGTGATCATAGTATTTTCTTGTGGTAATTTGATCTCTTTTATATCTGTCCTATTTTGCCTTCCCAGAGTGTTTATTTGCACTTTTTCTTCCTTTCTTTCTTGAGTAGTTTTGCTCTAGTTTTGTCCATTTTTTTGGAGTTTTCAGAGTCCACTTTTAATTTTTTTGACTATTTTTTGTTTTGTTTTCAATTCATTTATTTCTGGCCATCTTTATTATTTTCTTCTTTCTAATTTACTTGAGTTTACTCTGTTACTTTTATAACTTCTTGAGTTAAACACCAAACTCATTTAAGTCTTTCTTTCTTCTAAATATTGCTTGTGTTGCATCCCAAAGTGTTGATATTTTGTATTTTCACTGTTGTTTAGTTATAAACACTCTGTAACTTCCATTACCTCTTAATCCAGGAATCACTGAGAACTTTTTTGTTCTCCATGAATGGATTTCTTTTAAAAATGTATTAATATTTTTAT